AAAGAGTTAAAACTAAACAGAAAAAATTCACGTACAAATGAGACAACAAGGGCTATGGTACACTGAGCGTGCCTGGTAATGACTATGATCTTGTGTTAGCCTTGAGCTGCAGAGTTACCAATGCAAACAATCACAGGAAAATAAATTGGCTACAAAAAGCAGTTTTCATTTCATTTAAAATATTCCCCCTTCTCCGTTTTACATTTCTGACGAGACATTTCATCAAGCCTGTGCCAATCCAAACTTCGGCTAATTTCTCACATGCAAAAACCCCAAATGCCCTGAAGCAAACAGTTTTGCCAATGAAAGTTCAGCCCAGAGAGATCAAACTACTGCCAAAGCAAATCAAGGAGTAAGTACAAGACAGAGACTTAGAGCTGTGCAAAGTGTTAACACACAACAGAAAGACCATTACATAAACAACTCATTATGCTTCCCCACCCACCACAGTTTAAATTGCCAAATGAAACAGGAGAACTTAATCGAACAATATTGTGGTAGTATTACACATACATGAAAACGTAGCTTTCCTGTTGGGACCTGTCTGACTTCCTTCCTGTAGGGTGAATACCTGTCCCATCAGTCAACATTGTGAAGTCAGGCAGACTACAGCACAGATTGAAGACACCATCAATCGGATCCATGTGCAGAGCAAATTTCTCTTCATCTCTGACTCTGCTCACTGCAACCCCTTTCGTTTTTATATTGTACTTTCTGTAAATAGATTTTTTTCTAAACTCCGTTTCAAACTATTAGAAAACAATATTTGTTCAGTCTGAAAATGTCAAGCCCATGAAAAGGACAAGTAAAAATTGATAAAACACAAAGCAACATGTAATAAATGTTTTTACATTTGATGTATCGCCTTTATCACACCTTTGAGACGTCTGCAAACACTTTGCGGGATTTTATTGTAAAGTGCAGTGACTGCGTGTTAGCCCCTTAACAACAACAACAACATGCATTTATATAGTGCCCTTCACGCTGGGTAAAGTCCTGCAGCAAACCTCTTAAGAGGGAGCCAGAATGTAAACTTCCTGCACTTTCAATTGGGTAAATGGCCTTTCTCAGGACCTATGTCTGGTAAGATCCATGGAAGGAAAAAGAGGAGCTGAATGTTCTTTACAATGGGAGATTTACAGTCATCAGGGTTGCCAGTGGGAACCGAGGGGCCTGCGATTGTGAGAAGAGGTTACCAGAGGTGCTGCTAATTCAACCTTGTGATCCACGACTGCCTTTCGCCTCTCATCAAACGACAACTAAAAAGGCAACATGTGGGATCTTCTTGGCAAAGAATTCTCAGTGCCAGCTCTGCAGACTTCATAAATCTTTGGCTCCGTTTTCCCAAATACTGTAATTGTATATTTTCCTGATGTTAAGACAAAATTCAGAGGGAAGTGTAGAGTTGTTTGTAATGCAGCGGAGAGAACATCATTTCCCTGACAACAAAATGCACCACGCACAATTATCACGAGGGAAATTCAAACTTTTTTTTTCCCCAAGTTAAAACGCTGTTGTTAGCTGAAAAGTTTTTTTCAAAATAAAACAAAAACATCAAAAGAAAAATCCCCGTGCAATACCACAACAATGTATCTTTAAGCCCTAAGCAAAGTTGTTGCAGATCTTTGTGAAAGTATAGCTGTCAGCAATGTCGCTTACTGTATTTGTCTCGCAGCTTTGCTCCCTGTATCCCGTGCTGTGTGATGTCACTGTTATCTTCCTTCATTGTGAAAACGGATCAATCCTCGTTGTGGGTTTGGTAATTAAATGTTAAGAGGACTGAATTACGGCAGCAATGTATCATTTGGTTCTGGTTCTTTTTTCTATTTATAGAATGAATAGAATTATAGAAAATCCAGCACTGGAGGCCATTCAGCCATCGCGCCTATGGTGCAGCCACCCCCCCACCCCCCCCAAGACTCACCTCCCCTCCCCAGCAACTCACTGGTCTAATTTCAATGCCTTACTCCCTTTGCCTACAAATACACAGTCACTACAATTCACAGTACAGTCCTGTAAAGCGCTTTGAGATGACGAGATTAGGCACTATATCAACTGTTTATCTAATTATCTTTTAAATGCCATAATGCTCTCGTTCTCAATAGCTTTCTGCAATAAAGCAGTCCACATTGTAAGTAAACATCAGCATGAAAAAAATTCCATTAACCTCCTTTTTAACACTTCCAGCAACATCATGTGTTTACGCCCCTAGTTATCAACGCAACAAATATCTTACACTATTCATCCTCTGAAAATCTTTCCGAATTTTGAAGAGAAGTTCTCCAATAGATGTCCTCTATTAGGAGATGGGTACTGAGAGGGTGAGGAGGGGACAGATGACCAAAGCGTAGTCACAGAGTTAAGTCTCGAGGCAGACGAAACGGAAAATCTTTAGAAACTGACAGATTGAGTTTTGAGTTAGTAATTATAATCCTTGCATTGATATAGCACTTTATCACGTCTCGAGACATCTCAAAGCACTTCACAGAATATACTGTGAAATGAATTGACTGTATTTTTTTCTGGGCGAAACGCGGCAGCCAATTGCGAACAGCAGTGTCCCACAAACAGTCGTGGATTGAGTGACTAATTTATTATTTTTTTGAAGGAATTATCATCAGTAACATCATTCGTGACAGTATGTATTCCATTCCAACACTACCGCTGGAATTTCCATGTGTAGGTGGGATGCATGGAATTCTGTTTGGTTTGGATACTCTTAAGCATAGTGATGAGTTTTTGCATGTCTAAGACACCCAGCTGACCAAAAAAAAGCATCAGTTAACAGTCACAAAACCAGTAAGTTTGGGTGAACAAGTCTTTTCAAGCATGTCAATTAGTTCAGCTTCCTAGCCCTGCCAGAATCAGTCATTTCGCCAAAACAAAATTAGCACTGTGTAAATGAAAGTATTCAAAGATGACAGCTATAGCCGGAGTGGGAATAACACAGCATTGTTGAAAGCTCAACGTAACTGATTTTAAAGGAAGTATTGGTAAATAACATTCCCTCTTCAACACGTAACACAGGAATAAATGGTTCCACATAGTCAAGAAGAATCACATATGGATCGGGTAGGAGAATAGCAAGCTGCTAGGGATTGAAATCCTGTGCAACAAAGCCAGAAAACATATTCTAGCTCACAGGTAGGTGAATGCAACAGAGCGGGGCTGTGAAAAGTCAATGATAACAGCAATATTTTAACCAAAGGCAAGAAAAAGACAAGAAAATTACAAAAATTACAAGGAATATCTCTAAATGCTTCACAGGATTTACTGTAAAGTGGAGTGACTGTGTACTTTGTTGGTGAATGCCTAGTATTAGGTCATGCACTGAGTGCATCTCTTCTAACATTTGTTTTGGTCAGCCGAGTGTCTAACACAGGTGATTGTTAGAATGGAGTGCGTACTCTCCCCTCCCTACCCCCGAGAGGAATGCGTCCTGCTTACCTAATTCCGGAAAGTATTAGGTGCAGGTTGGCAAGAGCCAAGGTTTGAGGATCCCAGAGTGTGCGATGGGGTACTAACCAGCTAAAACCACAAAGCGCACCATTGATATTGCTGTCTGGCAAGCTTTTCTGCTGCTTGTCCATCTAGGACCACTCTACCTGTTAGGGCTTTAGCTTGCAGGGTTAACAGGAGCTGAGTGGGATGACTCCCTGCCTCCAGTGACTGGTCTGCCCTTCCAGGTCCTGCCGATGAGCCAGACTGGCTGGCTGTCATCAGCAATGGCCTGGATACTGCAGTCTTGTCCGGTTAAGGAACCGAAGTACCGAGAGCGCCACAGGAGGGCTGGTTCGGTTCCGACATTCCACTGCCAGGCATTTCATCTGGGAGCCAGTTCAGCTCCAAGGAGATCCCCGATTACCTCTCCCCCACCTCCCCAAGTAGGATATTTTCTATAATAGTTTGTAACAGTCCTAATAGTAACAAAATCACTCCATCAACAAAGTAAAAGCCAATCGTGAGTTATAGACTCTGAGCTTGGCAACAGTGACAGACAGGTTAACTCAATCGATCAGTTCTAAAGGGTTTGACAAAAATGTGCATTTATTTAATAGCCCATCCAAATACCTTTACATTGTGACTCTATCTAAGCACCAATATTACAGATTTTTTTTATTTAGCTCCCTCTGGGAAAAACACAGGTCAAATTGGGGAAAAGGGGTAATTGTACAATCAGTAGTTGCCCACTTGGGCTCAATACCCAGGAGCTCAATGCAATACCATCCTGAACCATACACTCAGTCCGTCCGCTCCTTCTTGCTGGCTAACTCCTGAAAGCAAACTTTGGTCACAACAGGGAATTGTGAACAAACTGCTGAATGAAACCTGTACACACGTTGAAAGTTTCATTAAGTGGGCGGAAACATTTGGCACAATATCGGTACGTGAACAAGTGGCCCTCTGAAGACGGGTCTGTGTGCACTGTGAGTGCGATGGATGCAGAGACCGGGGTTTGAACGTCCTATAAAATAGCAGCTCGACTTGACGACAGGGACTATTAGATCTTTTCTGTGTCACTAGACCTAGTTTTTGCCTGATAGATATTCTTAAGAAGCTCATTCGATTCGCACTTATGCTTTGTTGGAAGACACGACTCATTCCTTATTCTGAAACCACAAGTTGCAGCTTTGTCTGCACTGGGATGTCAAAAAGCTGGTTCCTGTGCATTCAACTATGCAACAGGCGCCACAATTAAGGTTGGATCGCATTCACGCGCTCAAACAGAAACCAAACCGTACAACGCTTACCTGAACATGTGCATATCATACATACACACATACATGCTACGCGCACACATACAGCACATACAAATAACCCTCTCCCAGAGCAACAGAGGCATGTTCCAGACCCTATACTGCCCAGTCATCATGTGTATTATTATTCACAATCGTTATCACTTCAGATGGACCCAAATATGATCCCAGCCACTAAAATGAATCAGTCAGTGCTCAGAAAATGCTCAGTCGGGGCCATTCATTCAAGGAACCTTTGCTCACCCTTATCCTTCTCATGGCAGCAACGATTTCCACCCTGCTGTTCGGTCTGGGTACATCCAGCGTCCCAATATACTACAGAATATACAAAAAAAATAAATGGGGAAACTTTGGTAAGGGACTAGTCTTTTCTTTTCTTTTCCTCTCCCTTCTCCTCTCCCCCCTCCCTCCAGGACCAGGTTCGAGCCTTGGCCACCCACCCACCCATCACGAACCACTTCATATTATAAGCCCCCACCACCCCCCCCCCCCCCCCAAAAAAAAAAGTTTGCAAACCTTTGCCTCGAAACTGATCCCATGCTGGAAAGCCTCTTCGTTGTGCAAAGGAATTCGCAAGTCGTGCCCATCATCCACTAAATTGTACTTGGTTTTGCTCGGCATGATCAGGGACCATCCACCAGGCAGGTTATTTTTTTTTGGGGGGGGGGGGGGGGGAGGGGGTCCTTTTTTTTGTGTGATATATATATATATATTTATAAATAAAACAAAAAGAAAAGAAAACACTCCCAAGAATCAGGGGAGGAGTAATAACACTGGAGCAGGATTGCTGGGGTTTGTAACCCACACCTCCTCCAAAAAAAAAACCCCAAATAAAAACAAACAAATGAAAAAAAAACAAAACAGCTCCTGAAACTTCTTCTGCTGCAGAGAAAGCCTCGAGAGAGAGTTAACTCGGGGGAGAAAACAGCTCCAGAGCCCCTTTCACCTCCCAACGTCCAGAAGGGTTGCAAATCAGCACAATGTTACCACAATGTTACCACAATGTATCCCCACAGCAGTCAATCAGTCACAGACTGACTCTCTCTCTCTCTCTCTGTATCTCTCTCTATCTCTTTCTCTCATTCACTCACTCCCTCCCTCCCTCCCTCCCTCCAGCCCTGACTCGCAGATGATCAAAGCTTCTCTCTCTCTCCCCTCTCTCTCCTCTCTCCCTCCCTCCCTCCCTCCCCCCGGGGTAGAGAGGAGGGTAGAGAAGGCGATGCTGAGCCCTTTGCCTTTACCTGTCTCCCCCTCTCTCTCTCTCTCTCTCTCCCTCTCTCTCTCTCTCTCCTCTGCGAAGCTGTTGGATCGCTGTTCTCTTCCTATTGTGTTTGAACTGCTTGATCTTTTCTTTAGCTTTTTCTCTCTCTCCTTCTCTCTCTCTCTCTCTCCTTCTCTCTCCTCTCTCTCTCACGGCAACGCCATGTCTTTACCAGCACTTTACCAGCCACCGAGCCCCCGGTTCTCCTCCCATTGGACGGCGCGGGGAATTCCTCCCAGTTTTATTGGTGTGAAGTTACATCACTTGCGCTCCGTGCGGCCGAGACGGCGGCTTCCTGGGCTTCCCGGATCCCTCATTGGAACAGCGATGCCTCGGGAGAGAGACAGAGGGAGAGAGAGAGAGAGAGAGACCAGAGGGAGAGAGGGTAGAGAAGAGAGAGAGAGAGATGGGGGAGAGGGAGAGAGAGAGAGAGAGGAGAGGGAGAGAGGGTAGAGAAGAGAGACACAGAGGGAGAGAGGGTAGAGAAGAGAGAGGGAGGAGAGGGAGAGAGAGGGAGGAGAGGGAGAGAGGGTAGAGGAGAGAGAGACACAGAGGGAGAGAGGGTAGAGAAGAGAGAGGGAGGAGAGGGAGAGAGGGTAGAGGAGAGAGGGTAGAGAAGAGAAGAGAGAGGGAGGAGAGGGAGAGAGAGAGGAGAGGGTAGAGAAGAGAGGGAGGAGAGGGAGAGAGAGAGAGGGTAGAGAAGAGAGGGAGGAGAGGGAGAGAGAGAGGGTAGAGAAGAGAAGAGAGGGAGAGATGGAGGAGAGGGAGAGAGAAGAGGAGGGAGAGAGGAGGGAGAGAGAGAGAGGAGAGGGGGGAGGGAGAGAGGGTAGAGAGAGGGGGAGAGAGGGAGAGAGAGAGAGACACAGAGGGAGAGAGGGTAGAGAAGAGAAGAGAGAGGGAGGAGAGAGAGAGAGAGAGAGAGGAGAGAGGGTAGAGAAGAGAAGAGAGAGGGAGGAGAGGGAGAGAAGAGGAGAGGAGAGAGGAGAGAGGAGAGAGAGGGAGAGAGAGAGAGAGAGGGAGAGAGGGAGAGAGAGAGGGGAGGAGAGGAGAGAGGGAAGGAGAGAGAGGAGAGGGAGAGAGGGAGAGGAGAGAGAGAAGAGAGAGGGTAGAGAAGAGAGAGGGGGGAGAGAGAGAGAGGAGAGGGTAGAGAAGAGAGAGGGAGAGAGGGGAGAGAAGAGAAGAGAGAGGGAGAGAGGAGAGAGTAGAGAAGGAGAGAGGGGAGAGAGGGTAGAGAAGAGAAGAGAGAGGGAGAGAGAGACAGAAGGGAGAGGGAGACAGAGAGAGATAGAGAAGAGTGAGGGAAAGGGAGAGAGAGACAGAGAGAGAGAGAAGAGAGGGAGAGAGACAGAAGAGACAGGGAGAGGGGGGGGGAGAGGGTCTTGGAGAGGGGGTTTGCCCCTCCTGGCACAGGGAGCTTTGCCATTAAGCCAACACTCAACTCACTCACTCAGTCTCTCTCAATCACAGTAGGTTTCAGTAAATGCCCTTAGTTTTTCTCTCTCTCTCTCTCTCTCCCTCTCTATCTCTGGCCTCTCTGGATCGCAATGCATTTGGTTGCATCTGTGCTATTCTTTTAATGTGTGTATGTGTGTATTGCACTGAAATCTGGACACTCAGTGTAGGGTAAGTCTCTTCCCTGGGTTTGGAGAATTTTGCAACCTCCCCACTAAATAAATAAAAATATATTTCATAAATCTCTCTCACTATATATACATACAGGTGTATATATATATGTGTGTGTACTCTATACGAAATAATCCTTGCATTTTGAATATAGCGCCATTTCACGTATTCCAGACGCTTCAAAGCTCTTCACAGGATTTTACTGTAAAGGGTAGTGACTGTTTATGTGTAGGCGAGCGCGGCAGCTAACTTGCCCGCAGCAATGCCCCACAAATAGCCATGAAGTGGTCAGGACACTGGAAGAAACTCCCTTCTCTTTTGAGCAGTGCCATGGGATCTTTGATGTCCACCAGAACAGGCAGACGGGACCTCGGGTTAACATCTCATCCAAAGGATGGCACCTCCAACAACAGCACGTACCCAGCACTGCATTTATGTGGATATCCAGTTATTGTCCCCCCAGTGTTGACACCCCAGTGCAGTACTGGCAGAGTGCTGCATTGTTGGAGATGCTGAAATGTTAAGCCAAGATCTTTGACCGTTTTGCAGGTGGACATTAAAGGATCCACGGCACTATTTGAAAAGTGATGGGAGTACCCTCCAGTGTCTTGGCCAACAATACCCCAGACTAATTGGCAGTTCTCTTCGGGGCTGTTTGTAGGACCTTGCCGTGTGCAAAAATTTCTGCTGAGTTTGCCTTAAAAAAAAACTGCCCTTCCTTGACCATAATAACTGTAAAGCACTTCGAGCGAGATGTGTCACTGTGTTTGAGCTGCTATAAAATGCAAGTCCTTTCTTAAAGCGTTGATCTTTGTTAGCTTTGAAGTGGGATGTTTTGCAGTTGCACTGTTTGTTTTAATAAACAAATGTTGCAGATACTATTACATGCAAAAGAAAAGTGAACCAGGGAACTGGAGAGGTAAAGGCAAGATACAATTCAGTCTGATGTGGGATACATGTAAATCTCTTATAGTTTATTTAGAGCTTCGTAAATAAAGGAGTTTGTTTAGACTTTGAGATCACAATGAGAATACAATATTCTTTATGATGAAGTAGAAGCGGTGACTACGGTCAGTGGCAGTGCAAACAATTATTAATTTTTGGGCAAAGGTGAGTAGTTGGAGTTGAGGTACAGACTGTGGAGTCCTGTAGCTCAGTGGTTAGAGCACTTGCCTCTCAAGCAAGAGACCTGGGTTCGATTCCCAGCAGGGCGAAACCTTGGGCAAGTTTCCTTACTCCACACGCCTAATAATAATCCCTCAAGAAAAATTAATAATAAATTGGTCACTTCAATCCACAACTGTTTGTGGGACACTGCTGTGCGCAATTTGGCTGCCGCATTTCGCCCACAAATATACAGTCAATTCACTTTACAGTCTATTCTGTGATGCGCTTTGAGACGTCTGGAAGACGTGAAAAGCGCTATATCAAATGCAAGGATTATTATTATTATAGATCAGCCATGATTTAATGGAATGGAGGAACAGGTTTGAGGGTGTGAATGGCCTACTACTGTTCCTATTTGAAATCAGTCTTCAGTCAAAATGTTACGTATGTGCATTGGACGAATCGGCCAGGTGAGTTGGGAGAGGCAAAATTATTGAACAAACAAATAAATAATCCTTGCATTTGTTATAGCGCCTTTCATGTCAGGAAAGCATCTCAAAACACTTCACAAGTATAGAGATTGTGTATTTTGCTGGTGAACACAGCAGCCAATGTCTTACAAACAGAATGAAGCTGGTGCTGTATATTGGGTGAGGGAAGAGTAATAATGACAGATGTTTTGTCCTTTTCTTGTCCTGGACACTTCTTATGTACGATTGCAGGAGGAAATGACTGATCACCCACACACCAGATGCTCACTGCCAAAATGATTGCTAAGGACAAGCTCTGTGAAGGGTGGAATCGAGAACGTACCTTGGCATTTAACTTCAGTTGTCAACCATTAAACTGAACACCCAGGTTCAATTAACGATGTATACCTTTGCGTTTAAAATTCTGACCAGTCACACAGCACCTATTAAAATGATAAAGGGTTTACAAAGCCAAACACATCTCTTAAGTTTATTATCGCATTTAAGTTCTTCCCCCTGTCCACTGGACTGTTCTACCAAGAGTGTGTGGGTTGAGTGCCTGTTGTTTCTTTGCATTTTCTTTTCAATTTACCAATGGAAGCGTTCATGTGAACAGAGGAAGAGCAGCATAATTGTGGCAGTGCCTTCAGAAGCTTGAACTTCTCAAGGCTGGATTTTAATATCAGACCCCTTTTAAGCTGTCAGAATTTGGGAAATTTGCTAATTAGCTTGTTGTATTGTTCGTCCCCAGTAGATGGTGGACAGGATGTTCCCCTGACATAGCTGTGCACACGTCTTTATCAAAACTGCTGCTGAGGTACAGAAGGACGTCCTCCAATACGCAAAGCGATGGCAACCAATGTACACAGCATAGAGAGCGGGATAATAATCCTTACAATAAACATTGGTCATGATATAGGGCTTTATATCATTTTATACCATTTATATCTTTCCGACGTGAAGGGCACTATACAAGCATAATTTGTTGTTGTTTGTTGTTTATAAAATAATAATAATAATCCTAGCTGCTCCATCATTCATCGAGACATCTCAAAGCGCTTCGCAGAATATACTGTAAAGTGAATTGATTGTGGGCGAAACTCGGCAGCCAATTGAGTACAGCAGTGCCCCACAAACTGTAATAGTTTGAGTGACCAATTATTATTAGTAGCTTTTATTGTCTTTTTTAAGGGAGAAAAGCG